ATTTTTCCTCAAAATCAGTGCAGAAAATGTACAAAATGCATTCAGATTCCCATCTGGTGCATTCATAGGCGGAGGGTGAACCAACTCCAGGGTAAGGCTAAAAGCAGCCAAATGTATTAAATATCATAAACCCGTCTTTTTAGGCAAGAACCAGACATGGGTGTCATGTAGGCTAAAAAAAATGTTTAATGGGACTGAATTTGTATTTAATGTGATTACAATTTAATAAAAACGTTAGAAATTGATAATTATGTAACGTTTCCTTTCCACTGTTATTCAAACAGCGAATAAACTATATATAGAAAGTGACATTATCACTAACATTGATCTATTGCGAGTTTAAGCACTCTCAAAAAAACTAAACTATCGTTATAATCACTGAAGCTGTATACACTGTTAAATGCATCTCTTACTTACATTGTACATACATCTGCGCTTTGTTGTTTATGATGAGAGAATTTGCAAGAGTCCAGAATGCGCACGCACTCAACAAAACTGATTCACTTTGTTAGCAACAGACGTAATAGATTTAATTTGTCTGTGCAGGGGCATTTTTGCCCCGAGTCCCTGACTCCCCGTGGCCAGGGGAAGGCTAAGCCTTACACACCTATGGGTCAGAGGATGTGAGCGACGCTCCTGACCAGCACACAGTCAGCTCAGTTCCCACTGCAATTAACCTGTGAATTTTATTAACATTAAATCATCCTCCTCCCATTTTCACCTCAAAATTATGGGGAAGCTGTGCCTCCCCTGACGAGCCGCCACTGGTTGTTTATGATGAGAGAATACGCAAGAGTCCAGAATTCAGTCAGCGAACGCGCGCTCACTTAACAAAACTAATGAGTTTGAACGATGACTCATCTGAATGCTTCTGATTGGCCATTGCATTCCTAAGCTCAATTATTGTGATTGGTTAAAATGCGCAACACTGTAAAAACACCTAAAATTAAATACGGTGCAACATGAGCAGATCTTAATTTAATGCCGCAATCGACACTGTCTATTCATATTCACTTTGTTAGCAACAGACATAATAGATTTAATTTGTTTGTGCACCTATGGGCCTATGGGTGCATTTATTAACAATACATAATGGATAGGGGTTTAGTAATATCAAATTGTCATTGTTTGTTTCTTTCTTGTAGGAGTGTGACGTGGGATCGGAATAACACAAGTGCTACGGGTTTCCAAGATGTGGCTCGAGCCCTAGAACAGTATGACACACACACACTCCTCAATGCACACTCACCCCTCTGAGCACTGACTCACTCGTCTCTTTGAAAACTTATTCACAGCATGCTGTTACTGGGAAAAAAGAAGCTGTTTGTGATTGCACAGTCTTTCATCACCTCACTGGCCTGCCTGTGATGCACAATTAGAGCATTGTTCTGGAAACACCTCTCTTCCCTGGAGATCTACACAAATATTATTTAATGTAGAAACTTTTTTGCAGACTTGAGCTTGCATTCAGAGGACTGTAATAATTGTAAGAAAGATGTTCTCAGTACAGATCGCTTTGAAAAGTGTTGAAAGAAACAAAGTTAAAAAGAATGAAAGCAAGAAAAAACTACTTGTTTCTGAGACACAAATAGACAGGGTGTAACACTTTCCAGCTTCCTAGAGCTCATTCTTCTCTCTCGTGTTGCGATGTTTGGGGAAAACCTTTATCCTGCTTCTCGATGGTCTTCTGCTCTCTCCTCAGTAACTTCACTCTGCAGTACATGCCTATCCCACTCAGTGATGTCACACAGGCGTACCGTAGCGCCCCAGAGAGGACAGAACAGGCACTAACCAAGGTAAGAATGCTGCTTTTTTATTTTGAATAGGCTATATTTTTTATATTATTCCACATTGAATGATAGTCAAGATTTTAAGCACAAAATCAGACATGAGTTAGATCAACATTACCCTTTACCCATAGAAATAAACAGGCTTTTTCTTCTATACCTTGAAGACCACTATGCAAACGACCTCTGTTTCTGATTGACCACCTTTTTTTAGGTGAAATGAAAAACAGCTTATGGATTATTTGCTGTAGAGTCCAAAATAAGTGCCACTGCCCAAACCATAAATGACAGCCTCTTTACAAACCTGTGCTACAAGACAAGTGACAAGTTCACAAAATAATCTGCATTGAAACATGACACACAAACTATTAAAGGCATAGTTCACCCAAAAATAAATTATGTCATTAAAGGTGGGGTAAGCGATTTCTGGTAGCCAATGTTGACATTTGAAATCACCAAAACAAACACGCCCCTACTCCAAAAGGGTCTCGCCCCTATTTTGATAGCTCCGCCCCACACATACGTACGCAACCCAGGCAACGATTAGTTCTGTGAAACAAAGCAAAACCAATGTTACACCGTGTCTACACCGGACACGAGTGGCGCGGCACAACAAAATACTATGGAACTCATTATAATCAGTGATGCTGTCTACACCATAGATATATATACATATCTATGGTCTACACTGGATGCGGCGCGGCACGACAAAGGCTACAAGTTTGTTTTGCTACTCGGCCTGAATCAGTTTTCTAAAGCGTTTTTGAAAAATCGGTTACCCGCCTTTAATTACTCACCCTTATGTAGTTCCAAACCCGTAAGACCTTCGTTCATCTTCAGAACACAAATTAAGATATTTTTAATCAAATCCGAGAGCTTTCTGACCCTGCATAGACAGCAACAAAACTGACACATTCAAGGCCCACGAAGGTAATAAGAACATCGTTAAAATAGTCCATGTGACATCAGTGGTTCAACCTAATCACTTATTAATTATAAATAAATAAATAATGCATTCAATAAATAGTGTTGTTACAGGTTTCCTATCCTCCTACTTTTTACATAATTTCATTTATTATATGACATAGTGCTTCTTTCCCCCCCCAAAAATATATTTTAAATACATTTTTTAACTCTACCATCATTTCAAAATAGTGCCTTTTTTCTTCTTCTTTTTTTTAAATTCCTTTGAGTTCTGCAGTTCTCAGTTACTTCACTGTGGCCGGCTGGATCAGTTTGCTGAGCACCAAATAGCCATTAATGTGTAAATGTGGGTGGTCATGGGTGGACAGCACTCTGGAATGCTTGATTCTGATTGGTCAGTTACTGAATTTAACAGTCAAGTGTTTTTCATAATGACACACCCCTTTAAATATTATTATATTGGTCGATCATTGAGTTTTCAGTTAGCTATTCTTTTTTTACATTTTGTCCCCACAATCATGATTAGATATCATAGTAGATGGGACTTATTCATTAATTAGATCTGTTTTTCTATGATAATGACCCCTTTAAATATCCATAACTCTGTGTCCTGCTGTTTTGAGATTAACAGTCCCAAGGCACTGAAATGTTTATGCACATGTTTAATGAGCCCAGAGATGTGAAACTTTTACAAGGTCATTGCTGAAAGAGGGACACAGCAGACAATACATTTATCTTTCATTAATTCGCAGTATAATTACAATCATTTCCACATGACTGCATGGCTTATCTAAACATCAGTGTTCTTTTCTTTGTCATTAATGAGTATTCTCTCCCTTGCTCTGTCTGTCTGTCTGTCTTTCCTGTGTTCCTCTCAGATCCAGAGGGCTTTGTTAAGGAATAACCAGACTCAGCGGTTCTCTCAGAAACAGGCTCTTCGGTTGCATCAGGGCCTGGTTACTAGTACCGCAGAACAGGTAAAGACCGCTTCCTGACCACCACCTCATATTCACATGCCTCATTGTCTACCACTACTGCAAATCCGACTCAATTATTCACACTTCTAGTATGTGATGATCATGTCGGTTATGGTGATGATGAGAATCTCTGGGTCAGAGTTTGGGTCGTTTCTATTTTAGTTCTGCCAGTTCAGATTAATTGAGTTTAATTGGTGGCTAAATTGCAAGTGCCATTTCTATGCATTTCCTGTAATATATTAATTAAAATTGACTCGACTAAAACCCTGAAGTGTCGTAGACATATTTCAGGGTCTAATGACACTCTGAGGCTTTTTTTGAAAGGAGAATTGCATAATTATGCCATTTAAATTCTCAATTAGCTCTTTAAAGTTCTAGTGTGTTATTTCAGTGCGACTAGGAGCTTCAAAATAATTTAAAAAGTATTCCTGAACACTTACCCTATCTGTGTTTGTTTGGACAAACAGATTGTCCTCTACCAAATTAATGGCATCGGTTGAAATTGATATGTTGAACTAATATGCACTAACAAAATATGCACTATAAAATAAATTAATACTTTTATTCAGCGAGGACACATAAAATCGATAAAAACCGATTTATATTTCAATAAATGCTGGGTTTTTTTTGTTTAGTTTTTTTTATTCATAAAAAAATCCTGAAAGATTGATCACGGTTTTCTCAAAAATATTAAGCAGCATAACTGTTTCCAACATTGATAATATTAATAAATGTAAAATACTTTAAAATAAAAAACATGTATTGCAAATTGCAATATTATTTCACAATATTGCTTTCAAATGTATTTTTTTATCAAATAAATGCCTTGGTGAGCATAACCATTAAAAAAAAACAAGATTATAAAAATATTACAGACCCCTAAACTTTTGAGTGGAAGTGTACCTGAAAATAAGAATTCTATCTATTAGCAGTCCCATTTTCTTCATATGAGTCTTCATATTTACATTCTTTGGATGGTTAACCTGTCAATGGATTGTTTATATTGATCTCTAACTAATAAACCTTAAAAGAAATGACACACATGTGTTTAAATACTTGTGTTTGTGAGGAAGCATCTCTTTCACATGCTAATGTAAACTCTGACTGATCTACGGTGCATTGTTGGATCAAACTCTCCTCTCTCTCTCTCTCTCTCTCTGTTGCTCTTGCTTTCTTTCCTTCTCTGTCTGTTCCTTTCTCTCTCTGTCTCTTCTTTCTGTCCTGCTGTTGTCCCAGGTGATGGAGCGTCTATGTGTGCGTGTGCAGCAGCAGGTGTGTGTGTTGAGAGGAACAGGTGAAGGGGAAGAGCTACAGGCTGCCAGACAGGTCCTCAAGGAGGCCAGGAACTCTCGAGCTGTGAGTGTGTTTGTGCATTTACCTGTCAAACGTCTGCGCAACCACTCTTCTTTATTCTCTTATTACGAATATTTTCCACACAGCAGTACAGTCATCACACCTATGAAAGAAGAACACAAATATAATATTTTTTTCGAAATAAATTAATACTTTTATTCAGAAAGGATGCATTAAATTGATCAAAAATGACGGTAAAGACATTAATAATGTTACAAAGGATTTGAAAAAAAAAATCCTTTTGAACTTTCAACCACAAAAATATTGGGCAGCTATATTTTTGATACTGTTTTCAATATTGATAATAATAGGAAATGTTTCTTGAGCACCAAATCAGCATATTAGAATGATTTCTGAAGGATTGTATGATACTAAAGACTTGAGTAATGGCTGCTAAAAATTCTGTTTTGTCATCACAGGAATAAATTACATTTTAAAACCTTGTTCAAATTAAAAACAGTGATTATAAATTGTAATAATATTTCACATGTATTCAGGTAAGACTTTACAACAAGGTTCAAGAACTAACAATGAGCATTTATTAATGGTAAATGTTAATCTATAAATGATACTATTGTTCATTGTTGATTCGTGTTCTTTTATAATACATTCCCTAATGTTCATTTAACCTGAAATGTTTAAATGTATTAACACAAGTAGAAAGTAACACTGTTAGTTTAATAAATGCTGTAAAAGTATTGCTCATTGCATTAACTAATGTTAACAAATTCAACTATATTGTGAAGTGTTACTACAAAACAAATTTATATTTATAGCAAAATGCATATACAAACATTTCTGCATTTAACGTTTAAAGCAAAAGGTTTTTAAGATCATGAAGTCAAGTATGTCTAAACTTTTGACTGGCATATTAAATAAATAAATGTTATACTACACATCACTTTAGTTTACACCATTGCTAGTAGATTTTGGTGCTGTGGATTTTGTCTGTAATCACATTATATGTTTATATATTTGCTTAACGTTTTTTTTTTAAATATACTGTGCAGATGGCTTCATGGTAATATTCAGTCAGATGTTATTTATGTGCTGGCATAAATGCAGATATTCGAGTGACTCAGTTATTGATTCATGTGTTTTCTGTTTATTAGTTTAAGAAACTTTCAATTTCTACTACAGCACATATGCATTTATGAGCAAACATTAAAAGTTAAAAACAAATCACCTCCATGACTCTCATGCAAACAGAATCCTCATAGCAGTCAGTGAGTGAGAGAGAGTGAGAGATCATGACTGGTGTGTGAATTATGTCTGCACTGTCCTCTAGCTGTACCCCTCGCTGTGTGAACTGGCCCACGTGCTGTCAGTGGACGGTCCGGTGAGACAGAGGCTGGACTCTCTGGCTGGAGAACTCGCCAAAGCAGCTGATAAAGAACTACAGGTGCTGTCTCTCTCCCTCTCATCCTTCAGCCTGCTTTCTTGTTCTGATGGACAATTGATGGTGGATTTGTGCAGGTCATTGTGGACTCCATGGTGTCTCTGTGCCGGGAGCTGTGTCCGCTTTCTTGTGCCGCAGCGGAGTGTCTCTCTCCTCCCCTCTCCTCCATCTCTGAGCGCGTGTCCATCCCTCGTTCGTCCATCCGCACCGCTTTGATGGAGAGAGCAGCTCAGGACATCAACAGAGCTCTGGAGTAAGAAAAGAGGGTGTTGAGTTGTTGATGTTTCTGAAATTAATACTTTGAGAATTATACCCAAGTCCTTTTTTGATGTTGGTTCAGTCGGCAGCAATCTTCTGTGTCTCCCATCTCTCTCAATTTTAGGGAGGTGAAGCTATCTGTGGTCTCGTATCTCACAAACTCCATAGTGGACCAGATCCTACAGGAGCTTTATGCCACACACAAAACTCTGGTACTACAAACGAATTTCTCTCTCCATTCGTCTGTTCATTCTGAACACGTGCACAAGCATCGCTCTTCCTCACGCATCTGTTCGTCATCACAGCTCCGGCAGGTTTCACAGATGAGACGGCTAGAAGACGGGGGAACAGCCAGGCGCACACATAGACATGCTGACATACTGGATGTTGTGGAGGATGACTTTGGCATCAGCATAGTGAGTGTGTTACGTGAATCACTCGCAACTGACTCAGTTGTGTGTTTGGTGGTGTTTACAGTATCTGTCATCTCTTGTAACTCAGCGGTCTTGTCATCTGCTCAGTTCGTGATGTTCTCACTCACTTCTGTCATTCTGCACATAGGACACAATTGCCATTAAGAAACGCAGCTCCAGGACCAGACGCATTCGTCCCGTGTCCAACAGACTCAGTGAGTCACACATGCACGCTATGTCGGATGAAAACAGGACTATCATTCATTTTTTAGTTGAATACTCATTCAGTGCTTTCAAGTCATGTATACTTATACTGTGTATAAATTTTTCAGTTGAAACCCATTCATTCTTTATATCATATTTTAAGCTCAATTTAATTTATAAAACGTATTTAACATTTATTAGGTATGTCATTTTAGCATGTTAATTTAGTGTTTTTAATTTTTAATTAATTAAAAAAATAAAGAAAATACAAATAAATAGTTGCGTACACGTAATTGTGCTCCATGACAATTAAACAATCAACGTAATAGTTCACTCAAAAATATACATTTGATAGAAATATACTCACCCTCAGGCCACCTAAGATGTAAATGAGTTTGTTTCCTCATCAGAAAATAAAAATTGGAGAAATTTAGCATTACATCCCTTGCTGACCAATGGATCCTCTGCGGTGAATGGGTGCCAGCAGAATGAGAGTTCAAACAGCTGATAAAAACATTCTATCATTAAGGCATTTTAACTTGAAACTGTCACTTCTGGCCAAAATATCCAAAGAGTTCATAATCCATAATAATGCTTCCTCCAGTGAAAAAGTCCATCCCCTGTTGTCCTCTCACATCAAAATCCACTGACATATTTGTTTAGAACTGTTTTTGTTTGTAAACGGTGCTTGATCTGTCCATATTTCTATACCACTTTTTCACTGGAGAAAGTAATATTATGGATAGAGCTGGGGAAAAAATGGTTTGACGTTAAAAACATCTTTTTAAAAAATCTTAATGATGGACTTGTTTATTACAAACATGCAGTTTATGGATTAGCTACATTACTTGTGAATTATTGTGATGTTTTTATCAGCTGTTTGGATTCTGACGGCACCCATTCACTGCAGAGGATCCATTAGTCAGCAAGTGATGTAACTCTAAGTTTTTAAACAGCATACCATATAATTAATTCACTGTCCTTCAGGTCTAGGTGACGACCCCAACTCTTCACCTTTAGTGTCCACTCCTCAGACATCTGCTCCCCTTTCACGCTCAGCATCATGGGAAGGTCTGTCCACCCTGCCCACACAGGGTTCACCTCTGCGTCATGTGACCCATGTCAGACCGCGTCCACCACGAAGACACAGGACTGCACACGCTCCCTTTGAGACAGTAAGAACCAGCACCATTGCCAGTATTGCCACACCAATACTAATTTATACCAATATACTAATGTGTACCAATTTACACATTTATATATCTTTATATAGCATTTTTAGTGTTAAAATAAGGTATACATAAAATGAAGTAAATGTCACAAAATGACTTAATAAACTTCGACAATTTCAGGCTTTGCCTCATATTGTGTTATTGCCCTCAAGTCTTGTGTTAGCCACATATTCATCATATATTTATGATCAGTATTGTTTACAATTTAGTTTGATAGATACACTTGGCTAGGGCTGCCACTAATGACTATTTTTATTTTGATTAATCTATCGACTAATTTATCGATTAATTTCCCACAAAAAAATCAACAATTTTACTTAAGAATATTTGGTCCCAGTTTATATTAAGTGGCCTTAACTACTATGTACTTACATTTAAATTAATCCTTTGGTACAATGCAATTATTGTGTACATGTTTTTACATTGTACTTATATTTTAAAAATACCTGCATGTAATTACATCTGTAATTAATTTCTGTAATTACATTTATAATTACACCGTTGAGCCATCCCTTACACCTTAACCCACCCTTAAACCTACCCAAACCACCGCAACCTGTCCCTAACCTTACCCATATCCCACCTCAATAGCACAATACAATATGAACACAATAAGTACATTGCACTTATTTTTTGATGTAAGTACATAGTAGTTAAGGCCACTTAATATAAAGTGGGACCGAATATTTTATTAAACTATATTTCATTAAACCAAATGAAAACCAAAAGTAAAAAAGTAAAGTGCAACATAAAGTGCAAGAAGCAAGTGTCCATCTCATAGTCCAAATCACTGAAATCAAAGTTCAGTATTATAGTGTAAGAATGACAACATATCCACGTGTTCTAGTCTACTAATAATAAAATTATAATCAAAAAACACTTTTAAAAAGGAGTATTTACCAGAAATAGTATTTACCAGAATTTGTTTAGGAGAAAAATGTAAATGTGCAGTATTTCTGGAAATATATATTTTTTTAATAAAATCAATTAATTGGAGATGTTTTTGATTATTAAAATGTAATGGAAACATTAAAATGGAATCCAGAAAATAATGGAAAACAGAAT